AGGTTTTACTTTTCAGACGCAGACCCCATCTCGCCTCTTTATGTGCGTTGCTAAGTTCCTCGTAATACTTGTGTACTTTAAAGCGGCACGGCATCGTTAACAATTTGCAAGCGATCTTTCAAGTTGTCCGTCTTTCTTGAAAAATCAGAAGTGTTGCCAAAGGTTTGATTTGTAGGTATTTTTCGGTGCGCTGTGTTTCTCTTTCTCCTCGACTTCCATGTGTGTTGAACGAAATGAAATACTATCTTGTTCGCACAAAATGGTATTTTGTGCGAACGAGATGCTTTTTCTCTCTCTCCATGAACCTTTAGGGGCTCCATAGAAAGAGACGTCTGTAAATCGTTGGATAATTTTTTTTAAACTAAATAAACTACCCAGTATGAACATTTGTATAGCCCTTATTAAAAACATTTGGTCCTGAAGTTGTAAAATGTGCTAATAACGTTATTCTGAGGGTTATTTTCCTCGGCATTATGAACGCGCATCCAGCCCACGGGGCCGCGCCGCCCGGCACGTTCATGTGAGCACGTTCATGTGACGTGTTCAGTACTACATGAGTTTTACCTTTACCCATGGATGCACAATAAGAACGGATTATATCATTATATGAATACTTTCGTGACGTTTCGCTCTCTCAAAAGTTAGGCCATTTTGTCTTCATGCGCCAATGAGCAACTCTCATAGGAATGAACGAGGCCCCGCCTCCCAAGCTGTATCCAGTTCTTATTATTATACATCCATGGACTGCATGTGCCGAACCGTGACGGTTCGGGACGAATACGGATACCGTTACACCCCTAATCTCAAGTGAATGCATTAGGCTTCCGTATTCCAAAATAGCACCAAATGGGTATATTTGAACTCACTTGTCCGCATTAGTCACCAAATACACTTCTGTGAAAAGCTGTCGCCTGGAGAGAGACCATAAGAAGTTAACCAGTCAATTTTTTCAAAATAAATGAAAAACAGGAATTAGGAAGTATCATTTTGGGGCGACTTGCCCCTGTCACGCACATGTTGACGGTTTCCCACCAAAAGTCGAGGATCTTCCTTCCTCCCACGCCAGGAAGTAAAGCCTTTGGTACTCCAGTCAGGTGGCTGTATAAGCCTGTTTCATCATTCTGGGAGAGGAGAGATGGAAAAAACAGATTAACTCAAATACAGGTTACTCAACTACCTATACTATGATGACAGTATATACAGTATAAGGAATGTACACATGCTCTTCTAGAACAGAACAGAAGGAGTAGTGGGAGAGAAACTTCCTCAAGAGGGAACTTTGGGATTTTAATGTTTGCAAACCATTTACATGCAAAGAAACACATACTATATCACACTATAGGAAAACAAATATCACAATAGTTAATTTATGTGTACTGAGAATGATTATCTGCAAACTAACTTATTTAAAACATAATCATTTTTGTAGCGTAACAATTCACTTAAGTAGTGCAATACTTAAATTGACGTAATAACAGTCCGCTGCAGTACAGTAGCCTATGTGTTATTAAGGTAAACGTTGGATTCCCTAGCTCATTGTATGCGTTTTACATAATGTACAATTTTATATTTAAAACAAAAAAAGAATAAGTGTTCACGTGGGGTTGTATGATACGCATAGGTGACATTAAATGACGTCAACTCAAACATAGACCTGTGTCCCTAAACACAACACGTCCCCCTATGATAATAATAACGTTATTTTGGAGAACATGTTCAGGTTCAGGTTATTTATTTGTACCCGTAGGTAGATTCTGTTTGCAGAGAAAAACACACAAGGGTTCCATCCTGAAACTAAAAACAAACACAAACAACAGACACATCTCTAATAAAGGACAAGTAAAAGTACAAGTATACCCTGCTCAACCAAATCTCAAAAATATTTAAAAAACATTTTAAGAAGGAAAACACTAGTGCGAACATGGACATTCAAAATTCACAATTAAATAAATAAATAAAAATAGGCATCTGTGTGACGCTCCTATGATGTGTTAATTTGTGCAATAGCTGCTGGGATAAAGCTGGTATTCATGTGCCAACCTTAAGAAGTTAACTCCATAATGGTGTCTTTCTTCCTCGGTGAATGTAATTGTTAAAAAATAATAATTCGGCAGGTAGATAAGGTATACGAGTCAAGGTTTTTTACAAAACTTTCATTTCATTCCAACACAATGATAGATGGATCGACGGCGTTCCAGAGCCAATGACAAAAATGTCATTTTTTAAAGATTATCATAAATATTGTTCGGTCACATGTGCGCCGAATGTAACTTAATATCCCTTTGATTCTGTGCATGAGGTGGTGGTCTAACAGGTAAACAGACAAGACTGGTAAATAAGTGGTAAAAAGGGGGATTCTTTAAGGTAGTTCTTTGTACCATTATTGCTACACCGAATCCGAACTTTGCCCTCCTTCATCTTATCTCCTTTCTGCTGCAACATTCAAGCTACTCACCTTAATTTGAGCCTCTAAGACGGTGCCGTGGCCCGCTACCAGCAGTATACAGATCATTGGTGAAACTTCACTGTTTCGTTATGTTGCTTTTAAGTCAATAAGAATAGAGTCCAGTGGTTGAAAATATCTTCGGTATCTCCAAAAGCTTAATTTCCCAGCGTCAATGAAGTAACGTACTTCCGCAAAGGTCCTTCAAAATAAAACACCCATGACTTTTTTAGTAGATCTTCTTGGTAGAGCAATACATACAAAAACAGCTTAGACACAGTGGTGGAAGAAGTACTCTGATGTTTTACTTAAGTTAATTCTGTTACAGGAAAAGTCCTGCATTCAAAATGTTACTTCAGTAAATGGTACAAAAGTATTGCGATCAAATTATACTGAAAGTAACAAAAGTACTTCAAACTTTCGATACACAAATGATTGATGTATTGATTTAACTTTTTTGTATCTGAAACAGTAAGTGCACTAGCAGGCCTGGCTCCAGGATGAAATTACTGAGGGGGCTGTTAAAAAATCCGAGGGGGCGAATTTCTTTTCACACTGGCAATGTAATTGACACACCAAGCTTTTTTCCTTCTCACTACTCTACAATCTCTTTGCTTCTTTGTTTTTATTCTGGATTTACCCCTCTCGTTCTGTTATTTTCCTCTAATCTTTAATCATAGATAGTAGATAGTTGAAAGATAGATAGATGGCTGCACTTTGGTTAACAGACTAACATTGATTTCCTCAATTTATAAATGGACAGGCTCTGTAATTATACCATAACTTTTTCTCCTCTATCCCTTAACTCGTCTTCCTATACAGATTTACTTACCTCTAGTCAGGTCAGGATTAAAGAAAGATTAATCTGGTTGATTTGTTATTTTCAGGATTGAATGTTCAAATCAAGGCCTAAAACCTGGCATTTCATAAGAAAGTGACTAATATATAAACCAAATGTAATATTGGATCAAATACTACACCAAATGGACAGACACAGATTACAAATAAAAATGAAGTCCCATGGTTTGTCCCTAGAGTCTAACTGCCATGAGAAAGATCAAATCAATGTTCCAAAATCCGTCACTAAACGTCGCTCATTGTACCAATACGGTTGATATAATACATATCATATTATTATTCTAGTAAAAGGGCTCGCTTTGGCAAAAACCTGATCCATACAGCCAGCCCTAAATAATAACAAGTAACCATCATGTGTGGTGCTATCTGTAGTTGTCTGTCTTATTTTGTGTTGATGTCAAACAACATGGATTTCAAGTCAATATACGAAAGTAAATCAAGAAATGAAGTAAACAAGCTGATCTTCAAGTTCCTCAAAAACACTGGTCTGAGGACAATGGATTTAATATAAACATTTAATAAATCAACAGTAGGTGGCGATATATGCTCCAAGTGGAAGCGATTCGCCATTAAAGACAAAAGAAGAAGAAGTAGTAGAAGAAGAAATACGCTAACGCTACAAACAGGCACAACACTGTTACTCTGTTTTTACTGACATGTAACATTAGATTTCACCTTGCTCTATTTTTTTTAACGCACGTTCAAAAACGGTAACATTTTCGGGAGTTTCAACCGGGTACCAGCCACCGAAAACGGGGACCCTGCCCGGAAAACGGGGACGTTTTGGTCACCCATCCGACTGTGTTTACAGCTAGCACACACGCTAACATTAAGACTACAAGCTCACTTGGGGTTGAGGCTTTTTTACACGTTGCTTGACTGCCTGCCCACATATCTGATCTAAACATAGTAACGTGTATTGGGAAAAATAATTATTTAAAGTTATTTAATAATTGTACTTTTTGATGGATGAATGATGTTCAAAGTGAGGGGGAAAAGAATACAACTGAGGGGGCAATGCCCCCTTTTGCCCCCTCGTGGCACCGGGCCCGTGCACTAGTTGAATGTTTAGAGATCGCATTATGTCAAAAGTTAATTTAGTGCACATTTTTCAGCTAAAAAGTCACTAATAAATGTACTAGAGCAGTGGTTCCCAAACTTTTTCTGTCAACCCCCCCCCCTTTGGAGTAAAAAAAAAGTGGCTCAGTGGCGGCGCCAGAGATTTATTTTGGGGGTGCTGTGGGGTAGCTTGACGTTTCATAGAGGGTGCTCAAACAGTTGTGCAAATACACAACGTACCCGCAACTGTTACAATGAAGGCTCGATAATCAGCTCACGACATATGTAAGGTGTAAGCAGGGGTAAAGTGCTATTTTTAGAAGTGGTGTGTGGACCTTACATAGGGGGGTACAGGGGCAAGCTCCCCCGGGAAGATTTATTTTTCAATCTGGTGCACTTTGAGAGCAAAATGAAGAGATCTATGGATACATCTCTCAACACCCATATGAAACAGAACTGTTAACAGATTTACTTTTTCTTTATGGATATTTTACAAATCACCCTTTTAAACTTTATTCTTTTTTTACTGTCATATAGTATTTCATACCTGTTTTTCATTTATTCTCTTATTTTTTTATAGCTATAATGATCATATAAATGTGTGCCTCGGAGATAATTGTTTACATTAATCGTGACCAAAACGTTTGAGACCCACTGAGATAACACTGAGAGAGTCCTTTAGTTCACTGAGCCTCTCATACCTCATTCACACCAACGGTGTTTCAGGGCCGGTTCGGAGCTGGAGCTTGAAAAGCACCGGGTTTTCCTCTTCACACCGCAGCGGAGCAGCCTCTTAGCTCCGGAATCCGGTTCATTTCGAGCACCAAAAAATTGTCCGGCCAGAGCAAAAGCACCACATACGTCACGCTTACGTCAAGGCGGGGGCAGGGGCAGGGACGGGATCAACTCCTGAACAACAACAAAAAGCTGGCGTTTTATCCAGTTTGTACACAACGATGGAGAAACTTAACAAGCAGCAGTGGTCCTCTGAAGAGCTACCTACTGGGAATCTGGAGCACAATCGGCCATTGTTGTTTTTGTCGGTGTCAGCTGTGGGGGGTCATCAGGTCATAGTTCAGTTTTCAAAACCTCTCTCTAAAACAGAATGATGA